GATGACGACGACGGCACGAGACTTACTTTCTTTCCAACTCATTTAACACCAAGAGAAGTTCTATCTCAATATAATCACATTTACTTTTTTTTCCGTCATCAATAAGGGACATTTTGCTTTTTTCAAAGCAAAAGGGAGCTCACTTTCCTTCTATTTTCCGCTCACCAATTATTTAATCCAAACAGGAAACACTTTCTTGCTACCCAAATTCAAATTAGTCGAACAAATATGTTTTTGCGAATACCATATATGGTTAAAAAGAAGAAGATGGAGATGGCTTTAACACAAGGGGACAAATTGAATTGGGATGAGCACTAAATTTGATTGATACGACAAGTGTAATAGGTGCCATTGGAGAATGGCAAAGAGAGTCAAGACTTTAGTTATAAATCCAACATGACACCAACATACAAATGTACAATGTTTTTCTATTTATTCCCATGCATCGCATTAGAATCGAAGATGGATTTCTACTTTTTGTCATGAATTGTATATTTAATGTAGCAAATTTGTCATTCCAAGTCCTAAAGGGAATCTCCCACCTTTAGTTCATTCCTATTTGTTCTCTAAAGAATCTTTCGTTTTAGTCTTCGCCTCTTTCATTTCCTCCCGCATATTAGTTGGACTATCAAGTTCGTTACTTTTTTCGACCCGAGGCTTAGGCTGAGAGTTTTGATTCTTTTGGACAATATTTGGTTAAAATTGAATTTAAAAAAAAATTAAGACATGAATTTAACTTAGAAGAAAAAGTTGAAGTTCGTGAACTTCATTATTTCACTTGAGATACTTTTCAAAAGAAGTTTCTCAAATGTGTTAAAGTACTACTCCTGTAAATGATGATTTTTATCCTATCAAAAAATGGAAGAACATTAAGTATTTTTTTAAGCAAAAGTGACAAATATTTATCTTTTCAAATTCATATTTTCAACTTCAACTTCAAATATTTTTCATTTTAAAAGTTCAATCAAATATTATCCAGACGCCTACTATAAAACTGGTAACCCATCCCACACCAAAAATAGAAAAGCAAGTAAAAAGGTATGTCTCATTTTATTTATGAATTCTAATATACTGTCATATCGATTCGTTATTCCGTAAAGATTGACAGCCACGAGTGCAATCATTAGTTTAGCATTATGTAAATCATGCTTGGACAAAGAGCCCACTTTTGGGGTCTCTTTCTCAATCTAATCAGACTAACCACATCTCTACAAATAATAATGAACTATACCAATAATGATTGTGATGAATTAGTGGAAAATTTCGGGAAAAATCGATTTTTCTTAAGTTAAAATGGTATTTGTAAATTAAAATTGTGTTTGAACAGGAATATAAATTAATAAAAAGGAAGATAGTGTTTGGGGAAAAAAAGAAAAAGAAAGATAGTGTTGGAGATTAAGGTAACATAATTAAATAGTATTGTATGTAGAGTGTTATCCCAAAAGAAATGTCTTGCTTAATATGGCACGCTGCTTCATCTTTAAGTCTCATTTTCGCACAATCTTTTCACACGCATCATTCTTTTATGTAAGCTTTATTTGCAGCCTTTATATATATTTATATTCAACATATAATAAATAAAAGAAAGTTGTCTTGATTTTATAAACAGATATATTGATTCTGGAAATTGAACCGATTGGTTTTATGATCAACAAATGTTATTTTAATGATATGACATTTTCAACAAGAAGTCAGTATGTTAACTTTATATAAGATTACTTTTTATAACTGTTATAAAGATTATTTTTGCTGTTTAAAACTAAAATGTGAATATTTATATCATGTTTTTATTTTTGTTTTTATAGAGATAACTATGCATAATTCCACCGTCATAGAATTATATATAAAATTCCACCTTTCTGAGATGAGAGATGCGTTTTTTGTCCAGTGGGATAAATTATTAGGAATAAGACATAATACCAAAACACACTAGTCTTTACTTTCGTACTCGCCTGCAAAAATCAATAGATTAATCCCACTCTAGTTGGAATTATTGAATCACGTGGATCTTTACCTTCCTTTTTCTTTATTTTTTTGGTTAGTTACTATATACATGTTTGTATCAACATCCTATAAATAGTAAGACTTGTTTTATTAGCTTACTAAATATACTAACCTTAACATGTATACATGTTTAGTAGTAGCTTCTTGCAAATAATGGAATTTATCGACAAACAATTAGGTGGGTACCTTTTGTTTAAATGAATTTTGAATCTTGAAATTCAAATAGATTGTCGGAGATAAATATATTCAATTAATCTCTCATGTTCCAAATAAGAATTATAATACTACTAGTCTGCTGGCAATACAAATTATGAAGGACATGTATTATTAGGTTAACCGTACGTATTCCTCGTGAGGATATAAATACGTATGCCACGTTATGAGTGCCAGGTTGAAACTGTGTCCTAGTTGGACCATCCAACCACCCGGCTAGACATAATTGGGCAAAACTACAATTAGAAGCCCTTTTCTTTAAGAGTTCATATATATATATATATATATGAAATATATATTTTCTAACTTTTTTAGATGTAAAATTATTAATAATATTTTTATAATCAATTTGTTTATTAATTATTTTTAAACTAAAAATATACTAAACCGATTAAATCACTCTTGAAACGTTGTTGATTTTAGGTAAAATTTTCTCTATTTTTGTTTTGATTTTTTTTCGTTGAGGCACTGTTAGGTATTTGAAAAAGAATCGCGTCTTTTTATATAATTAGATATATCGATTAGAGTATTATCTTCTACTTGCATTATTCCTCTTAACACTTTTAATTCAAAATATAAGCCTAAGCCTTTAATATTAGAGTGGCTATTATGTTTTAAGTATATCAAAGGTTAACACAATTTTTTCTTCTTCAAATTCTCATCCTTAAACTTTTAAAATAATACTGTAAGTTTTAGTGGTCAGAATGTAAACAATGGAAAATGAAGATTACCGACAGGACATTTTCATCCCTCAACGGTATCAAATTCACAATGACAAAAATTTATATAAAAGAAGAGTTATTTTAAAGATTTTAGGAAAAAATTAATAATCTATTCTCGGTAAAAATTGGTCCCCTTGAAATCGGGGGCCTAAGGCGCATGCCTTACTTGCTTGGCCTTTCAGCTGGCCCTGAACCACCTCGGGGGCGGATCTAGCCTTGTATCAATGGGTTTACCGTTAACGTAAACCCGATATTTTTTGCTCAAACTTTGTATATGTATAAAAAAAAATCGATTAAGAGGGTGTTTGAATTGGCTTTTAAACTGGTCAAATCAACTTTTAAGCTATTCTTAGTGTTTGACAAAGTTATAAAAAGAGTTTAAAATAAGTTTAAAACAACTTAAAACAAGCCAAAAGCAATAAGCTGTGCAAACCCAACTTTTTGCTTTTTGGTTTAAAACCTATTTGTGCTGAAGAACCATTTTTTAAAGCCAATCAAAACGGGCTCTAAATATACTTTTTCCATTTCAATTTATGTCTTACTTTCCTTTTTAGTTGTATCAAAAATAATATTGCGTCTATATTTAGTAATTATTTAACTCCAACTTTCCACATATCATATTTAAGACGATAAGACTCGAATGATATTTTGATACATTATAGACATCTTTAATTTAAGACTATAAGATTTTAAAATCATCTTTACTTTCTTAAACTTTGTATACATCAAACTAGGGTGTTAATAAAAATTCGAAAAACCAAATCAAACTGAAAACCGAACCAAACCGATTAAAAAAAACGATACTTTTTAGGTTTGGTTTGGTTTTGGTTTTAAATTTTAAAAATTGATCAAATTTGATTTGGTTTTGGTTTTGATTTTAATCAAAAAATAACTAGAAAACCCGAACCAAACTCACTATAAAAGTAGCTATTTAAATTTATTATTACACCTATATATATGTATATTTTTATATAAAGTATCTAAAATTTTATGGGACATATTAGTCATTTGTATTTTTAGTCTAGTTCTTTACTATTATAATAATCTAATTCTTTGCCTTCAAGTTTGATTGGTAATTTTCTTTTGCTAAGTACAAGATTTTTTTTCATGTTAAAAATAATAGATTTTTAATTGATTACTTAAATCATTCATCAATATTTGAGTCATTATCATCAATATATCTTGATAAATGATAGATTTCTCAAAGAGCAGTTGGTTTGATAGCGTTACGTTGAAAATGTAGTCGCTAGAATATGCGTTTGGTAGTGTATCTCTCATATTTAAGAAAAATACGATAAATAACCGAAAAAAACGAAACCGACAAAAACCGAATCGATAGAAACCGACTTAATTGGTTTGGTTTAGTTCCAATATTTGAAAAACCGACTTAGTTGGTTTGATTTTTTTAGGGGAAAAACCGACATAAACCGAACCATGAACTCCCCTGCATCAAACTAATACACATAAATTAAAATGAAGAAAATATTAAATATTTAACTATAAAATTAAATATTACTATTGTATGGAACTTTAAACTCGCCCTATGCCAGGCCCCTCCACATCCCCCTCACCCTACCCCCAACCCCCTACTTCCAAGTTGAGATCATATATAGCCCAAAGTGGAACAGAAAAGAAGAGAATAAAACACAAACAGTTCTCTCTTCTCTTTTTTTTCTCTCTTATTATCTCTCTCTCTTCCTCAGGCGTGTCATCCTCATTATGCTCTGCTCTCTCTTACTGTGAAAACATCATCAAACTCAACTCCATTTAGATAACTCTTGTCTCCTTTTTTCCCCTTCCCATTTTCCCTTACACTCATTTCTCTGTACTGTTAAACATGTGTTTTAATCATCAAATAGCATGGATTCTGAGCATTCTGTCATGATTTTTCGTGCCCCTTATCTCCATTGAACTCTCTGTTTTCCATCAGCTTTTGACTCTCCCAAAACAGACAATAAAGACATTCCTTTCATCATTTTTCACCCCACTCCTTAATATCCCCCCTCTGCTCTGTTTTTACCCCTGTTTTTTCTGCTCTGTTTTACCTCTATAAAAATAGGAATGGATAGATATAACTATACAAGAGAGAGGGATATTTCACATACTTCAAATCCTTCATTTTCTTCTACGCTACTTGATGCAATTTACCGTTCAATTGATCAAGGAGAAGAGGAACAATTTGTACTATACAAAGAAACAATGCGCAAGAAGCAGAGCAACAACAACAACATGGAAAATTTCCAAAAGGTTTGTATGATTGAGAAATGGATGGAGCATAAAGTCAGTGAAAAAGTTGCCGTTCGAAGAAAATCAGCAGCAGATTTTGAGAGAAAATCAAGGAATTTGATGAACTCAAGTTCGAGTTCTTCAGATTCAAGTTGTGGGGGAGTTTTTTCTTCTAATTCAGAAGCTGAATCTGTTTATAATAATGGAGTGAAATATTCCTCTGGTTCTTCTTGTTATGGTCTAAATAGACCTAAACCTATTCGAACTTCCATTTCAACTACCCAATCTTCTAAAAATCTCAATTTGGAAAGAGATTTTGTTCCAAAAATGAAAAATGAAGGTGGGTTTGTTAAAACAAAGTCAAAAGCTTTGAAGATTTACGGAGATTTAAAGAAAGTTAAACAGCCAATTTCTCCTGGGGGTCGTTTAGCTAGTTTTTTGAACTCCATTTTCACTACGGGAAATACAAAGAAACCCAAAGTTTCTTCTAGTTCAGCTAATACATCAACTTGTTCTTCAGCTTCTTCATTTTCAAGATCATGTTTAAGTAAAAATACTCCAAAATCTAGCAATAGTGGAGTTAAAAGATCAGTTAGATTTGTAGATGAAGGTTGTCAGCCCAATTTGGAAAGTGTGAAAAACATTAGGAAAACTATAAATGAAGAAATGAAATTTCATGCAATGGAGAAAAATCGAAGAGTGGAGGAAGCAGCTAAGGAATTGTTGAAAAATTATCAGAAGAAAGTGGAGAGGGAATTTGATATGAGGAAAAATTCAGAAATCAAGCAAATGGAAGTTTTTGAAGATGAAGATTACGAAGATGATGACGTGGCAAGTTGTGCTAGTTCTGATTTATTTGAGCTTGATAATCTTTCTTCTATTGGAATAGATAGGTATAGTGAAGAATTACCGGTTTATGAAACTACTAATCTTGGTACTAATCGAGCCATTGCTAATGGTTTGATTTTGTAATTCCTCAATAAATTTAAAAATAAATAAATTTGTTAGTAGTGTATTATTGTTACTAATGTAATTTATGTATTGGTTTGAACGGGAGTTTATTTTACGAGAAATGAAATGAAATTTCTCTTCCAATTTAATTTTATTATCTACCTTTCTTCTAGGAATATTTCCCTATCTATTTTTATTTTGTTCCTATACTTGTTCACACTTGTTTACCAATTTTGCTTTATTGCTTGTGTAGATGATAATGGCCATGAAACAAAATAAGGCTAAATACATATTCGGTCCCTTAAACTTGTCCGGATTTTCTAATTAGGCACATAAATTAAGCATTTTATCTAGTCATGAACATCTAAAATCAAGTCAAGTTGTGTCTAGTAGTATCACGCTAATTGTAAGATAAATTCAAGTTATTACATATAAATGTCCATAATAAGTCGACTGGTTACTTCAAAATAAAGCAATAATTTGTTATAATATCAGTGTATATTAATTAAATCTAAAAAGAAAAAAAAAAAGGATTCTTGAGAGATCATGTTCACACGAGGAGAAGAAGAGGTAAAAGCAATTCAAGCAAAGGCAGATCCTCTTCACTCATAAAAGAGAGAGTTTAGGCTTCTTTTTTTTCCAATTACATTGGCTTTTTTCTTGTTTTTTTGTGGGTCCTTTTTTGCTTCAAGATGGCGCTAGCATAAATATTCTCTTTGAATTATGAAGTCAAAAAGCTACTCCTACTATAGCTTCTTTATCAACTATATTCACTGCTAGTAAATGCCACTTCTACAATTTGATGCATTTATTATTTCCAAATTTCTACTACTACATGCAGTCATAACAATTTCTTTTCCAAATTTCAATTATTGAAATAATTATGCATAGTCAAAATGCTGAATTTTTGGTTATTGCTCCTACTACCTATGGTTCATTATTTGGCCTTTTGAAAAATTAATTTTATTTTAAAATATCTGATGTTTTAAAAAGCAAGAATACTTTTTTCAACTTTAATTTCAGATGCTCTAAATGCTAATTAAGTTAAAAGTTGAGAATTACATAAAAGATAGTTTAGACAAATTTTGTCACAATGAAAGTTTTTTAATGCCTTTCTTAAGAGGTGTATAGCAATTTTAAAATCAACAAATATATTACAACGATAATTAATAAAGTAGAGTAAAATGGGATGACGAAAATGATGATTGGAGGAAGAAAAAGATAGGGATTGTCCATGGTCTCCAAAAGATTAGGACAAAAAATCTAAGGTCAGATTTTTGTTGGGCGGGGAGCTAGTCATCCTTTACCCATTTTTACTTCGATATTTGTATTAAGTTTCGATTAAATTTATATTCGCATCAAAATATTTTATATTAGAGTAAAGCGATTTTTAGCATATGTGATTCCGTACTCGAGAATAGAACCCCCAAACTTTTAATTAAGAATCAAAGAATACTTATCACTGTATCACAATTCTTATCGGTTATTTATATATACTTGCTTACTACTATCACCTATAGGGACGAAGTTGGAGTGCTGAGAGCGGATTCGACCGAACTCAATAAATTTGGTTCGAATCATATATTTACTTTATTATTATTAATTTAAAATTAAATAACTTAAAAAGATTAAAATATCAAATTCATAAACTTAGAAATAATGGATAGTAGCTTAGGTTTGTTATTCCAAAAAATTTAATAACTACTGACAGTACTTCTCTGTTATGTACACAAAGGTCAAAGAAAGGGGTCTTCATTTTCAAAGGGCATATGCACTTACAAGAAAAGTTAATTAGTACTACCTTTGGAACTGTTTTTCTTCTCACCCCAATATGCCAACAATATAGAATTCTGTTCCTACTGGAACCAGAATGATATGATGACCTCCAGTGGCTCAAGAAATTATATGAATTTTATGGTATAGAACTTATTATTAGTGCGTGGCTGTCCACAGATATAGAAGAAGAAAAAGGGGGTCATTTTTTGCTCATTAATAATAGGTTTAGGTCCCTCATTTTGGAATCCTAGGTTGCTAAAAAACAAAGTCTAATTTTACCACCTTCCGTTCATTTGAAATGTCATTTAAATCATTTATTAAAAAAAAAAGTAGGGTACACAAAATATTTCATATTCACATAGCATTCACAGAAAAGTCGCACCTAAAGAGTATTATGTAGAGCCCGTTTGAGCATAAGAATTTTTTTTTTTTATTTTAATTTTTTTTAAATCAATGTTTGACGATGAATTTTGAAATTTTTAGAAAATTTTAAAAACTCTAAAAAACTGTTTTTTAAAATTTTCACTCAGATCACTCGCAAAAATTCAAAAACAACATAAAATTATATTCATGTCCCATCACAACTCTAATTTTCAAATACCATTTTCACTTGAAATTTTTTTCCCACTTTTTTTAGAATTTTACAATTCTTATGTCCAAACGCCCACGTAGACATCCTACCCTAATGCAAGGATAAATCAAGTTTGTTTGGCTAAAACGATAATTAAGATGGAATGAAATTAAGTATTATATATAATACAACAATAATTTTCAACGATGGCACATTCATATATAAATCCACTGCTAATTTACAAAATAAAAATTTTCTTTTCATGCTTTTACTAATTTGTTTTAGGTTTAGTTCATTTATTGGTTTCCGCGTACTGGTTCTTTAATTTATTTATTTCTCCTTTACGACCAAATGTACAATTTCTACAGCTAAAAGTATGCCTTATGAGCTGTGGTACGTACTGAGCATGACAACTTGAAATTCGTTAAGATACAGCGAAAATATGTAAATAGAAAATTAAGAAACTTAATACACGTGATGACCACGATCAAAAGGTCAATTAAAGTAAGTAAATATAAGAATTATGTTGTGATTACTGCAAAAGATATGTGAAATCTAAAGAAAAGGAATGCTCAGATATACCCTACAATGGAAGTTAAAAATGAAACGGGAGATTAGAGAGGACCACAAAATCATAACAGTTTGATATGCTAATTAAGCTATAGTATTTTATGCTTAACTTACACATTACTATAATAATATAATCTTAAAGTGAACAAAGCTTGAACTATAGGAAAAGAAAAGCCTATATCCTACTCCTATGTTCTAAAGTTGTTATAGGCTTTGAATTGCCTATGCACGAGAAATAAATTTTTTCTTAATTAGGACCCATTTCTGTTAGTTCACAACCAAAGTTGGATGGAGCTAGTTCTTAACGTACCGTGTATAATATTAAAAATAATTTAAAATTAGGCTCACAACAATAAATCTAAAAGAGAATACTCATTAGCTAATGGCTCATTTAAGCCCTAGCTAGTATTGATGCTAAAACTTAAAGCAAAGATGTTAAAAATTAGTAATACTCTATAACACTTTTTCATATAAATTCAATACGTACACGACACTTTTGTAATTGGTCATGCACGCCTATAAAGATGTAGGCCTGTTGCATGTGAGTTCCCTAGTCCCATTACACATAAAAAATGGCAGTACAATCGCCGATGCATAAAGTATCACGTGTTTATGCAAGATGCGGGAAAAGACCGTACCTCAAGAGGTGTAATGCAGACAGTCTATCATAATACAAGTATTAATGGATGCTTTCACGACTCGAACCCGTGACTTATAGGTTACACGAAGACAATTTTAATATTGCTCACAAGGCTCACATTTCACGTTACATTTAAAAACTAAGAGTTTACGACAAGGATTGTGTACAATATCATATACTTAAATTTTGTATATATTGTTCAAAGGCCTGATAGTATAAATCTTTTACTCTGTCAGGATAGTACTATTAAATTTTAATCCAGATACTAAACATAATTTTGTTTTATTTTTTTCAGTTTGTTGTTAAGTGATGTATTGAGTTATTCATTAACCGAGGAATTTTAGTGGGGAACCAACATTATAATCATGAGAGGAAAAGGAAATTCCCTACTAAAGTCAAAAGTTGCTAAAACAACATTAGCTGAAATTCTACTTAGTTTGGATTCATCGTTTAGTTAGCAATTTAATTCGTAAAGCCTAGTATATAGTTAATGGCCATCGCGATAAGATGATAAACTTGCTTTATATATATGGTTGGTGAGGTGGGGAAGTAGTTAACTACTTAACTTCAATCATGAGATGAAATTAATAGGAGCCTAGACTTGAGACCACCCTGCGTTGACTATTTTTTAAGTTTCAAACCTATAACTAATCATCAAGCTAATCTTCTCCATAACATAAAGTTTGACGCACTTAATTACTGGAGTACTTTGTTCTTGTTAATCAGTATTACTCTTTATGCAGCATATGCATTTATCAAAACCTCAACTGGAAAATACTGTTGCAGTCTTATGATATGGTACTAATAATATTTTCTATAACTGGTTATTACAAAAAAAAAATATTTATGTTTCATATTGTAATAGGTTATTTGCTTTTAAGGTTACTATTCCCAGTTATTATAGATGCTTAACAATAGTTATCTTTTAAATGACCTAATAAAATTGATTATATGTACTAACTGTGTAAAAATTATTCACGCAATCAGGAACTTATAAGATAATTATAAATAAATCTCTATAAAAGTATAGTTAGTGACCAGGTAAAAATGGTAGTTGATCATATGTTATCGGGGTAAACTATACTAAGAGTACAAATAATTATTATACTTTTGGTGTATACAACTTAAATCGGACCTGATAATTTTAAAATATTTTACTAGTATTACTCATATATACTAGTATTACTCTATATATATATATATATATATATATATATATATATATATATATATATATAGAAGCAAGCTAGCCACATAAGGCTGGAATCTGCAGCCCCCATCAGCAATTAAATGACTTGTTTCTAATTCAAACTGAGTGGTTACAATCAGACTGTTTTTGTGTATATATCTTTTGGGATCCAACTAGCTTCTTCTTTGATAATGTATAATATATAGAATTTCTTTTCATTATGTTGGGCAAAGCTCGGCTGGGCTTGTTACATACCAACCATGCACATGTCACTG